CTTAATCTATATTAATATTATCAAGAGGTAAGATTTGTGTTTTTGGATTTTTGTATGTATTGAAATAACTTCAAAACTACCGGGCCAATTACAATTATTCTTTCAACATTAAAAAGTACGTTATCGCTATGTAACATATATATGTCGGCTTGAGATAGCATGATAACAGAATTGCTACTACTCGAGATCACATGTGGGCGGCCATGGGTAAAGTTGGATACCAGGAATACATTCACAATACTCCTCAGTCAGGATATCATCGATCTACCAAGCTCATATCGTTCAAACAATGTTCTCGCAACGATCCCTAATTTCAGAATAGTCTAAGTTCTTACGAAAGTCGCTTGGCGGCGCTCGTGTTCTAATTATGACTTAAATTCAAATTAATTTCTACTTCTGATTGCGACATGTGTTTTACTATTTTTTTTATTTCACGTGGACGAAGTCGCAAGCAACTCTCTTGTTAATACTAATATTATAATGAAAGATTTATATTTTTGTATGCATTTAAATAACTCAAAAACTACTGGGCCCATTTAAAAAAAACTTTCGCCGAGAAAGATGAGTAATATAGAATATATTTTATATAAGTATGACTATAAAAAAACAATACCGAGTGCATTTAAGTAAAAAACAAAACATTCCATTGAAATGCAGTAATTATTGTCCCTGTCTAGATCGACGACGGCGGCGGCATGATGCGAGACGCGACCGTCGACGACCTCATAAAGATCGTGGAGGACCTCACGAGGATACACTAGCTCCCCCCCACACCTAAACCACTCCCCCTACCACTCTAGCGTTTAAATAAATATACATTATGTACTTATTGTTTAATTTACCTATACCTATATAAAGTAAAAAAAAAATTATAATATATGCCATATATTATAAAAAGGATTTTTTTTACTTTTGTATGTATCCGATTCAAGTAAAAACTACTGGGCCAATTTTAATTTTCTTTCACCATTAGAAAGGTAATTTATCTGCGAGTAACATAGGTTACATTTAACTAGCTGTTGTTCGCGACTTCGCGTGGAATTTAAAAATAATGAAATATATGTTACAGATACATAGCCTTTTTAAGGGTGAAAGAATTTTTAAAATTTCCGTAGCGTGAAAGGGTTAAGTGAAATTCATCTCTGCCCACACTTCCATGGTACGGGCGTGATTCACTTCAGTGTTCTATATTACACTTTGATATGCTAACCGCATAGATAACAGTCTACCACTAAAACCATACACATTTCATTATGATTTGATAAATAATACTTCGTATATCAGTTTCAATAATTTATTTAAATTATAAAATAAAGAATAATAACAATATAGAAATATAATAAATTACTGTTTTTAACATAGTAATAAAATGCTCGACAAAAACACATCTTGAACTAATTCAATCTTGTAGTCACTGGTTTTTCGAAGCTGTTGAATAAAGTTCGTATTAATTCTGAATATATATTTTTAGTCAATAATTTTAATTGAGAACAATATACTAAAAGTACAGTCACTGAAATCTACTGTGCTCCACTTTCGTAATACTCGTTCTTTACGAGATATCAGTGAGTAGTGAAATTTATGGGATAAAGCAATTACCAGTTCATCACAGACCAACATTTATTCGTATAAGAATATACTGCGATCTATTGGTTATTGTTCAACTCAATATGTTCAGATGAATAGCGTAAAATGGAAACCGACAATTTCCCCAACTGTACATTGAACTTATGTAATGATATACTAAATTTTGACTACAATGCCTTTTTGTGAACTAGTTTAGACCAATTAAACAAGCTAATTACATGTGAATCATGCTAATATTATAAATGCGAAAGTTTAGATGGATGGATGTTTGTTAGTTTGTAACCTAAACGGCTGAACGGATTTCAATAAAATTTGGCATAGATGTAGAGAATAGTCTGAAAGAACACATAGGCTACTTGCATTTGTTTTTTTTAATTCCGCGCGGACGGAGTCGCGGGCGAAAGCTAGTAACATAATATCAAAGACTAAATACTGAACAGAACATTCAATATTCACCTAAAAGGCCAATCTTGCATTCAGTACAGTGACCAGCAAAAGATCTGAATCAAAAAAGAACATAACAAATATTTAAGATAGAGTGTATAGTAGGCAGAGACAATAATGTCACATCTTTTGTATTATTATCAAGAAATAGGATCTTGTATTATAAAAAAAACAGCATCTTACTTGATTATATTTAATAAGTATTTCAAAGCAACAATATAATAAATTTATATCTATTTCACATAATTTAAAATGTAACATATAAAACTACATTTAAAATTCGATAAAACACAAAGTACACTGATGTTCCTTACATACATAAATATAGTCTACTCAGGTAAAAAACCAAATTATTTACATAAAATAAATCCATTGAAAGGTACAAATTTACTATAGATAAATATGGATACAATAAAAATATTCACACTTAAGAACAAATATATGTACAATACTCGAGAATTATGTTACATAGCACACTATGCAAGGTACAGAAAAAATACATTTATAGGTATTGCTCTATTAATAAAACAGGAATGATTTCAGGCAAGAATATACCAAAAATTACTAAAAGATACAACAAATTTTAAAAATAAAACTTTAATTTTTTTTTATTAAACCAGTCTATATTGTAACTAATAAATATGCATAATATAAAATAATCTTACTTAATAAATTTCTCTGCCTTATAGTGTAGGAACCACATGAGGGCAAATAGACAGCTGGGTGGGCTGGCGATGGGTCCAGGGGACTGTACCATCTCCTCTATCTCAGGAATTGTCTTCTCTATCACTTCTATCAGTTCATCATCAACACCACCACCTGGAGACACATATCATTCCTTTTTAGGTCATCAAAACTACCCTTTGCTTTTGTCCATGACTTTTATGCAGAATTAAAAAAATAACTTAGAAGTAGCCATGTTAGTCCAGACTATGTTCTATATATAAATTTCATCAAGGTCTGTTAATTTATTTGGAAAGATACAAAAGTAAAGAATGTCCATCCATCTTTTGGCAATAATAATATTACTAGCGTCTAAAGTACATTTATTAAACAAATTTTGTTATATATGTAACAATTGCAAACAAAGATATGGCATTAGTAAACTGTTAGAATTTTAAGCAACTACCTTGAAATAAATTGGTGGGTTTGTGGTCAAATGGTTAACAAACATAAAAATAAATGATTAAACCAAACCTTTCTCAGTCTTCATATCATCTGTTACTTCACAATAGAAGAATGTCTGCAGTGCTCCTTGTACACCGACACCAGACCTGAAATATACCAAACAATTAGATTCAAGCAAACAAGTTACTGTTGATTATTTAAAAAATAAACTATATTAAGCAGTTCAGTGCACAAAAATAAGAAAATTTTATAATACTACCAAGTTTCCCTATGAAAGATTTATTTGCTAATGTCATAAAATTGTAAAATCCCTGCTTAAACTAGTTTAATGAGGTTATCAAGAAACTATCCTTGACCTCTACATTAATTGCTGATAAATTATTTAATTGGTTATTTCTAATTCTTCACAAACCTGTATGAAGTAATTCTATGCAATTTTTCTAATGGTACATCATATCCACATTCTTCCAGAACTTCCTCTTTTGCTATTTCCTCTACAGTTTTCTTCTTGTCAATGATACCAGCACACATCTCAAGTGCTAGCCCCAGAGATGCTGGATACTTAGTCGTGTCTATTGTAGTCTTCTTTCTATCTTCAGGGCTGATGCAATTGTAGTAAATCGCTGTAAAGAATAACTTTTACATAACCTCAACTTAAGTAAATGTTATGTACTCTTGTATGAAGTAACTTTGTTTTAGCTTCAGAGATGAACTCACCAGGTCGAAATTGTTTGACAAAAACCATCACCCTCCTACTAATATTGAAGACTACGATCGCAACGCTATCATGAACTTCCAGCAGGTCCCAGGTTTTCTCCTTCCCATTTTGTGTGTAGTTAAAGCGAAATGGCTTTACATATGGTGAGTCCGGCAAAGGGCTAATATACACATTCTTCAGATCTTCCATATTTATGATAAAACTAAGAAAATTGTCACGATGTTCCAAGTCCAAGTCAATCTGACAAGAAGTTTTTTTTTGTTTGGTTTTTATTTATTTTTTGTCATTTGCCAAAGAGTAGTTACGTGACCTTTGATCGATTTTGTAGGTAAAATATTATTTCAAATTGAAAGTTGTATAGATTTTGTCGCAATTAGTGAATTTTTATTACATGTTTACGGTAAGCAAGTGTTATATACTAAATATATACATATACTAAAAACCGTCTATATACTAAAAACCGTCTTTTTCAAGTATATGACTGGTTACTTTGTTAAATAATTTGTTAAAGCTGAATTTCTTTGTTATATTCGGTAGTCCAGTAAAAGCTACTCTTTGAACATTATGACAATGACAATTTAACTTTTTAATAGTTGTAAAAACTGTAAAATATAAGAAATCTTTTTAGAATAAGAAATATTTTTATGATGTTTACTTAGATTTATAACTAACTTTTGCATGTTTACTACTGAATTAAAAGACGCAGGCAGTATGTCAAAACCTGATAAAAATGTTAAATCGGGATTTGTTATCAAATTATCATGTGAAACAGTGCAAAAGCTTTCCGAAGAAAATAATGAGAAGTCGAAAGAAGAAGCTGTCAATGCCATCACAGAAAATGAAACCCTTATGGACATTGAAAATGGCACCAACAAAACGGAGGATGCAGCTGAATCTAAAGATATTGATAAATCAAGTATAGAAGAAAAAAAACCAGATGTATCCGAAGAAAAAAGTATACCAAAGGTAACTGATAATATACCTACCGATACCAAGGAAAAGCCTGCTGATGCATCATGGGGTGACTATGCAGCATATGTGACTTATATAGGTGACAAAGCTGTGTACACAGATCCCACATCCCAGCAGAAATACTTCTGGAACCAAGAGACTAACTCTTGGGATCCCAATGATACACCAGGGAGAGTGTACACTTTTGAGAATGATACTCACGTATACACAGAAGCAGATGGTTCCAAATGCTTTTGGGACGACAATAAAAAAGCTTGGATACCTAAAGTTGATGATGACTTTCTTGCATGTTATCTAATGGCTTATGGATTTGTGGATAACAGTAAAGAAGAGAAATTAAATGAGAAAAAGGAAAAAGACGAAAAGAAGGTAGAAAATAAAGGTGTTAAAAGAAAAAATGAGCCACAGTGGTTTGAACAATCAGATGAACAAAACACTAAGGTGTATGTATCAAATTTGCCGTTAGATTTGACAGAAGAGGAGTTTGTTAATTTTATGCAGAAATGTGGCCTAGTGGAAAGAGACCCTACTTCTAAGAAAATGAAAGTAAAACTATATATGGACAAAGAACAAAACTGTTTTAAAGGTGATGCTCTATGCACATACATAAAGATAGAAAGTGTAGAACTGGCTCTTAAATTACTTGATGGTGGTGATCTAAAAGGTAACAAAGTCAAAGTTGAAAGAGCACATTTTCAACTTAAAGGTGCATACAATCCCGCTCTTAAGCCTAAGAAGAAAAAGAAAAAAGAGTTGGAAAAAATCAAAAAGATGCAACAGAACCTTTTTGGTTGGAAGCCGGAGAAATTATTAGGGCAGAGATCTAAACATGAAAAGGTTGTCATAGTTAAAAATCTTTTCCATCCGAAAGATTTTAACGAAGATGTGCAATTGATCTTGGATTATCAAAGTGACTTGAGGGAAGAAAGTGCTAAATGTGGGGAAGTCAGGAAAGTTGTCATATATGACCAGCATCCTGAGGGAGTTGCCCAAATTACTATGAAAGAGCCAGAACAGGCTGATGCTGTTGTGCAACTTATAAATGGTAGATGGTTTGGCAAAAGACAGATTACAGCCGAGATTTGGGATGGCTGGACCAAATACAAGATAGCTGAAACTGACGCAGAAATTAATACTAGATTAGATAAGTGGGATAAATTTCTGGAAGGCAAGGAAGGGACCACTGAAGCTAAAAGTAGTAGTGTAGAAACTGGAGACAAAAGTAAAGTAGATGAAACTACACAAGAAGTTGTTAAAACTGAAAGTGTGGTAATGTCTTCAGTTAATAAAGACAATAATACAAATGAAGCTAAAAGCAAAAATGTTAAAGATGTACAAGAAAATAAAGTAGAAAGAAGTACAGTAGCTGATGTACCAGAAGGTAGTGTTGTGACTTAAAGAAAATATTGCATTTTATATTTAAGTACAAGTATTGTAATTAAATGTTTAATTTTTTTTTTTAGTTTCTTTAACCATGAACAGTAAGTTAAGTATAACATAGTCATACCTAATAATTTCACATTATTCATCCACGACTTTTGAGCTGAAAATTTAGGACATTTGGGCACAAAAAATGAATACTTTCAATGGGATTCCTTATACCTCTCTGAAGGTATATTAAGATAAATAATTAATAAGTGGGGTTTACAATGTTTTTTTAATAAGACAACTTCACAGATATCACGAATGAGAATATTGATTTTATATCATCTGTTTATGAGTTTATGACTCTATGCAACACTCGACGAAAAAATTAAATGGCACCATAAACAACGAGCCGTCATGTTGTCTGACACATGACTTTTTATGTTGCATACACAAGAATATCTAATTTGATTCGACATTTAGTAATTAAGACAAATATAACATTAAGTTTAATAGTTACCTTGCCAATGAATTGAAACGACACTGTACACTTGTGAAAGATGATCGTCATTAATAGGCGGCCGGGTTCGCGTGCGGTGTGGGAATTTTCAAGTGTCAACTGATCCAAATCGGGCCTCCTTAGCCGCCTCCATGAATAATAACAGGATATGATAACATGGCCGTGCAATCGGACTCCGGAGGGAAGGACGACGTGAAGACACAGTTCGTGACGCGGGAAGGCACGTACAGACTGATGACGCTGTCGGAGTATTCGCGGCCGAACCGAGTAGGCTACACTAGTGGCTCGGGCTCGACCCATGTCCGCGTGTCGCTCGTGTCGTTACCACCGGGTCCGGGGGGCGGCGCGCCCGGCTCCGACGGCCAAGCCTCCGATGACAGAATATGTTTCAATCATGGGAAAGAACTGTATGTTTATGTTTACAGAGGTGTTAAGAAGGTAATGTGTTTTGTTACAATTTGTTTACATGCTATTCCTCTGTGTTTAAATGCTTAGTGTGCATGTTAGATTAGGAAACCAGCTCATTACTTTCACTGTAATCTTTACATTTCATCACTAATCTAAGAAACAAGATATTTCAAGTATTTTCATGATGTATGTCATTAAATGTGTTGTAACTAAAAATATGATATAGACTACAAGTTGAGTGTAATTCCACAAGACTAAAGATTTTATTTTTCTGTATTAACTGAGAATATATAGTCTTGAGAACAAAAAATCATAAGCATAAATCAATATGTTAATGTTAATATTTTATACCATTGTATGTCTTTCTTGTATGTATACCATAGGTCATAAAATATTGCACACCCTAGGACAATGAGGACAATCAGGTTATCCTAAAAAGTTAAAAAAACATGTTTTCAATTTAACTTTATGTATGTATGTTATATTATGTGAAGGTTGTATTCAATGACAGGAAATAGTACTGTGACTAGGCTGTGGTGTTTGTCCAGGCAGAAGTAACTAACTTAACATTGTTAGATCATTTCTAATTGTTATTGATTGGATTCAGTAACATTGCATCAAGATATTATAATAATAATATATTGTTTTTGTATATAAGACTTAATTTAAAGTTTTGTTCACAAATTTATGACAATAAAATCATTTTTAAAGTTCTAAATATGTGTTACCCGAATTATAAATAATATTTGTTTCTTTTTACACATTTATATTGGAACCTACCCCAAATTAGGGATGAATTTTATATGAATTTGATATGTAAAAGACATCGGCTTTTACTACAGACAGAACTAGACTCCATTTGTTCACCGCTAGCTTGGTGTCGAAACTGTTTTGTGTAGCTAGCCATATTACAAGGCACAGTAAAAAAGCTTAGCATAAAAGACATTAGCTATATCATTACATAAACATCAACTTTTCTGGTTCCAGGCGGCAGACCTCACAAAGCCTGTGGATAAAAAGATGTACAAGGGCACGAACCCGACGTGTCATGACTTCAACGCGGCCACGGTGACGCAGGAGAGTGTTGCGCTTGTCGTTGGCTTCTCCACCGGGCAGATACAGCTCATAGATCCTATAAAGAAGGAATTAAGTAAATTATACAATGAAGAGGTTAGTGGTAGTATTCTTTCGTAAATTTATAAAATTGGCTTATTGTAAATACATGAACATTTATGTTTCACTTGTTATCAGTCAGGCAAATTATTATGTTACTGTTTCAGAGACTGATAGATAAGACGCGCGTCACGTGCATCAAGTGGGTGCCGGGAT